ATAGATAAGAGGAGGTTAAAAAACTGCTTGGAAGAAGAAGATTTCTAAACCTCCATCTTTGATCCAACACATAGCAAGAATTTGCATCAGTTCGTATTGATATGCTAGCATGTGCGTAAACATGTGTGGGTTTTGGGTTTGGATGGTGGACAGTAAACTTCCATCGAGTCCAAGTCAGAATGACATTTTTTACATGTATGCACTACAGCAAATGCCATTGTGCCACCTGGTTTTATGGCCGAGTACTACAGGTATATAGTGACGAATTGATACCATTTTGGTTTAAGCTAAACTTTATATAATAAAATCAATATCCACATCAGAGGAAACCACTATCAGAACCTGTATCAGCAGCCATGGTTTGCAAAAAAAAACAAAAACACTCAAGTTGCTAAAAATGATTATGTGTGATAATGCACTTCAGAAGTTGGAGCCCAACCATTCAAGTTTCATCCGTTTGAGGATAAAAGCAGCGACGAGGAAGAACAAAGCCCAAATGATGCATGAGGTGATTCTGCATCACCATGGTGGTTGATCCTAATGCGGCCATAAGAGGCAGCGTTGGGTCTTATTTTGGTTTTTCCGACAGAGGGAGATGGAGCGATGGGGAAACAAGGAGGAGTTTTTTTTGTTTTTTTTCCACCATGAATTTCCAGTCCATTAAGAGGTTTCCTTTCACCATGAATTTCCAGTCCATTAAGAGGCTGACCATGTCACCCAGACAAACGCAGCAGGAGAAGAGAGAGGGGAAGAGGGGAATAGTGATGATGGTGCTCACCCACACAAAAGAATGGCTGTGAAGGAACGTAGCTAAAGGAAAAACCACTGTTGGGACACGAGTAAATAACAGCTCCTATTTATGGGCTAAAGTGGGCAATAATGGGAACAATAATGACATCACAGATATTTGTCTGTGTCGTCCTGCTGTTAAACAGGGACGGTCAAACCTGTTCCAAGAGCCGAGGTTGGATACTGAAAAAATGTGCTGCTTCTCCTCCTAGTAAATAAAACTGTATGTTCAGTAATTAGTTGCCTAATGTTTGTATAATACAAATGTTGTTTGCAAACATTTACATGTAAAACGAAAGAATCTTTCCCTGTTTTTTTAGGCTCCTCTAACATGACTAATGGCTCTGTCCGATGGAGCTGAAGAATAACAAAAAAAAATTATATAAATATATATTTATAATAAAATCCAGGCTAAGTATAAATATTTTAATTGATGAGGGAAAAAAATATTTAAAAAATGGCCCAAAATATTAGTTAAATATAAATTCAGAAATGGCTAAAAACCTTAATGATATCCCAAAGTTATAAGTCTAACAAATCATACTGGCCTTAAAGTACACACAAAACCACATTTTTTTAAAAGCTGGTCCAGCAACACAGAAATACAGAAATAAATAATAACAACAATAATAAAAAATATATATCTAAGTCCCAGAATTGGGCCTCGAACCAGATCTTGTCAGAGAGTCAGAAGTTCAATCTCAAATGTCTTTAAGTCCAAGTGTCCCAGTGTGACACCGATCTAGGAACAGACGTGAGCATATATTTTATGAATCGTAATGTGAAAGAGGTGAATGACACGTAGTGGGAAACACTCCGAGAGGTCGACTAGACAAGATCAGCAGTGTACGAGGACCGGGGCGGCCCGTTTATGGGGCCAGGCACCATGTGGTTTACTGGGGCTCCATTTTGGAGCAGTAGGTGAAAACAAAAGCTCCCTTTTCTGTCATTTTATCCTGAGCTTATTAAGCTTCTATCCCTCCCCCCTCCGACCCTCCAAACCACTCCACCCTCAATTCCATCACCCTCCCAGCCTCCCAGCTCCACCTCTCTGTCTTTTGCTCAATCAGAATGTATCAGGCAGACTGGCTGTAACAGCGCTTGGCGTTGAGGCTGTTTATCCTGAATCCTCCTGCACATATCAATGACTCGGGCCCCCGTTGTCCCTCGCCAGGGAGACGTTCATATAAATTCAAGCCACACACGCCAACGCCGAGGCGCTCGTGTCGAGCATAGATGAGTAGCGGGGCAAGAGGAGAGACAGAAGGATGGAAGGAGGAAGGGAGGAAGGGAGGGAGGGAGGAATGGAAGGTGCCACAAACATTCATCCTTGGCTGTGTTATTTATAATATTCCAGACACCGCCACCCTCAAGTTTGCCCTGCGGGTGTCTCCAGAGGAAAACAGCTATATCATGTTCTCCAGGTAACGAAATAACAACAACAACAACAACAAAAACATGTTTTCTTCCGTGAGCCGATGTCGCAGCCAATCAAAAATATATATGTCACCTGTAATCAGGACGCCAACTTTACGCGACGACGCCATACATCATTTCTTGCGCGATGTGATCGGTGCCATTTTGATAATGAGGCTGAAGTTTGACAGCAGGCTGTAAAGCACGTGGATTAATGACTTCCACAAGTTTCATTAAAATCCAATCAGTCATGTCTGAGATCGCCCACCAGAGCTGTCCTGAGCTACACTGCTAATTAATGTAAGAGCACTGACTCCTGATGGTTTTACGCGACGCTTGCCGGCCCTCCCTGCAGCCTCCTCCGATAAATCCGGGCTATTCCTTACTGTTAAGGTGTTTTAAATAGAAAAGTTCGGAAGTAGGAGACTGAGCTGGAGTTTCGGAAGACGGTTCCAGGAATTGGCTTGTAGCTAAATTTGAACATTTCAGTGCTGCTGATTTGAGCACATTTGATTACAGAATGTATTCATTATTTATGGCTAAGCTTATTATTAGTTTTTGTTTACATTTCATTCCATTATGGCAAGTCTTAGTCAAAGCTTGGTGAAAATAGAAATGACTATTTCTGGGCTAAAATGTTATAAAATTGGATGTTTTTCCAAACTATTGCTGCTTTAAAGTGACAAAACAATGGGTATGGAAAAATCCAATGAAATTTCTAGACAGCTATTTGTCTACAACCCATGTTGACATTTTCAGTTATTTTCGAGCACCAGAGAATAATTTTCCAAATAATGGCTTCAAATGATTTAAGTGATTCTAACTTTTCCATCCCTCAGACAGTGAATTTAAATGAATCACTTTTTAGAAAGTCATCATTTTGTAGTTTGAACCTGAAACATTTTAAATATAAATATTAAAAATACTGAAAAATGTGCTCGAATGTGACCTGGAAGAACTGTTTTTTTAACCCTGAAATTAGTCTGGTTTAAATGATCTGTCCTCAGATTCACTGCAGTGATGCTTGAACATGACACTCCTGGTATTTGGTATTTTCGTGTCTTGCCAAAGGGGAGGCTACCGTTGATAAAATCTTGCTCCTGAAAAATTCCATCTTGCCGTCATGGGGATTTGATTTTGAACTGTGACCTCCGGGACAGTTTCTCTCCTCATTGTCACCTCTGATTGAATAAAAAGACTTTTGTCAAAGGCTGGAAACTGTTCACACTGTAGCAGAGAGAGAGAGATAGATAGATAGAGAGAGAGAGAGAATTAAATGGCTTTCCGAGTAAGACGCAGGGTATTACTGAGAGAATCCTAACTTCTGAGCTTTGGCTGAATCTGGGTATGTGACTGGGATTAGGTGAAAATAGTCTGTTCCTGCACAGGAAGCACAATTAGACACTTGTCGGAATAGTTTGCCTCCTTTAGCTGAGAATCAAGACTCCTTTAACAGTAACATGCTGGCCGACAAATGATTAACACATTTTTTTTTTTTGCCCTCTGATTAATCACCATTTAACAGCGCTGATTCTGATTGTAATTAATCACGATTAATCGAAAAACTTCAAGTCCATGATACATGTGTTTCACAGCTGTTTTTTTCTGTGATTATTCCAACCGATGGAATTCTGAATATGGAAAAATATTTCTCAATATTTAGCTTCATGGAGTTGTTGGATTTCAGCCATTAGTCTCTGACAGTGATTTGTGAACTCTGACACCAGTGACGAAAGCTGGGTGTCAGATCTGAAGTTAAAGCCTCTGGTAACGATGGTCAACGATGAAATTGTTGGACATTTCATTGAAATGTTTGATCATATTAATTTCACAAATTCACGAACACGTTTAACATGTTCATTTTGACAACACTGAAATTGTCCAACCCAACACCTCATATGACATTTTGAAGTAAGCCGGTAAATCACTTTTTAATATATATTTATATATATATATATATATATAAAAGGGTATATATATATACCCTCATGTGCCTAAAATATTAGTCAGATAAAACCAGTGCAGCAGATCAGTGACCTCCAGTCTGGTCCATCACAGTGCGGTGGTTCTGGGCTGCACACAGGTGTGAGCGTGAATATGTGCAGCCCCCTGCATCTTCTCCCCTCAGGCTATTACTATAAATGACAGTGTGCTCTTAGTCAACCAGCCAAGTTAAATAAGGATTAGAGGGATAGGAGAAAATAACTGCACACTTTTCAGGGCAGCAAATGGGGTTTGCAAGACAAATCTGCAACCCAGAGATTGACGCTCAGCATGGCTGGAAATCATTTGACATACTCGCTTCACCGCCCCCACCCCCACCCCATCCCTCCACCTTCTCATGTGATAACCCGTGTTGTTCACCCCTCATTTTAACTCCACCTGAAGTGACTTTGAGTGAAGCACCGGAACGACGGGCGCCGAGATGAAGGAGAGCGTGGAGGATCACACGTAGAAAGTATTTCTGTTAAAGCTCGTCTTTGAGCCAGACGCCAGTTTTGCTCCTCTCTTTCTTCCCCCGTGGTTCTCGTTTGGTTTGCGCATCAAAAGACCTGGCTGTCTCAAAAATAGAGCATCAACATTTCTGATTTTTCTTATTCCTTGTTTCTTCCCTTTATTCTCAACAATGTTGCCAGTTTGCTCAATTCCTGTTTTTTTCCTGCTCCTGCTTTCATGATCTGTGAGAGGTTACAGAGCGTCAAGTGAGACGAGACGGTTGGCTCAGGGAAGTGTCTGTGTCTGTGTGTGTGTCTGTGTGTGTGCAGCAGCAGTAGCCGAGCTTGGCTGCTCTATAAAAAGCAGCCAGACAAAGTCTTCCCTCTCTCCTCATGCATTATGCATTGGCATCACCTTCCATCAAGTGGCAGAAAAACCTCAAAGATGTCTAACTTTAGCTTCCATCCTGAAAGCCAAACACAGCGAGGAGACGTGTTATTTTGACTGCCGCAGTCGAGCTAAGCACCTGTTACATCAATAAAAAAAAGCTGCGTTTCGCAACCAGAGCAAGCGACACAACAACAACCTGTGTGATGGCACAGCACTGGCAGTGAAGAAGCTGTTAAATGCAGATAATACCAAGGTGTGTGTGGAGGCACAGGATTAGATGAAACAGGATCCAACTGAGTTTAATTTTGCAGCAGAGATGCTGAGAGTAAAATCCAAAAACGGTTGATGCAACAACCTCTACATCCTAATTTAAAGGTAGAAACGAAATGTGCCAACGCACGACGTAGACCACGGACGACGGTGACGCGACGCAAACCTCGTCAAACACCAGCATGTCGCAGCCTGGCTTTGATGTTTTGAACCTAAACAAAAACTGAAAAGACTTTGCCCACGATGCCATCTGAGTGGTTTAAGGAGAGCGGGAGGTTGAGCAGAAGGTGGCACCGTTGAACAGGATCGTGACAAAGAACGATGGATTCAGAGACAATCGAACCAGAAAGACAACGGGCATTTGAAAGAGTGAGAGACGAGCAAAGACAGTTTGGACATATTCTAAAATGGAATAATGGACATATTGGACAAAGACAACGTCTTCAAAGCAAGTATTACTACAGAAAAGTACTACTAATATTGTCCACTACAGTCTGGGTGGAGATGTTCTCCTGGACGACCAAACTAAACCAGAATGTTCTACATTAAGCGGTCCTGTGACCAAACTCCGGGTCACAACCCAGGGGTTTTGAAACATTGTATTAGACTGCACCTGAATCAAAAACATGAGGGGAGGTCAAAGAGTTCTAAGAACGTGTTAAGACGTCTTTTTTAATGCGTCTACAACAAACTTTGCAATTATTTTTTCAACCGGACAAAGACATTAATCTGGTCAGGTTTGATATAAAAATAAAGATATCTTATTAAATCAAATTTAAATATTTAACCAAATTGAAATGGAAACCCACTGAAAACACCAAAGCTTTGCAAAGGGATGCGGTAAAGGTCTGTTTTTCCCCAGCAGGAAATGAATGAAAACAATAGATCTTGACATGCAATAAAGTATCTTTTTTTTTCAATGAAAACATGGCTGACAGAAGAGATAGAAGATTTTTTTTTTGCTTCCTTCCTTATTCTTGTTCCCAGATGATTATCAACAACCTATTGTACAAGACAAACATGTTGACAAATCAAAAGAGGTGATTCGTATTTAGCACCGCACATGTGATCATGACTAATACTTGTTGACCAGATGTGGTTTCTCTCAGAGAACACTGGCACGCAGTCAAAGTTTTTTGGACATCAGACAGGCAGCTTCATAACTCTACTTTGTGTAAACACACTTGTTTATCTGGAAGCTGCAGAGGGACCTTGTGATTTTATTTATTTCCAGCCGGCGTGAGCCAGAGCAGACCAGTTGACAAGGTGATTATTTTGCTATTTGGACTCAGCTTGCCAACTATTATGCAATGCCTGTGGGATTGATTTACTGTACGTCTTGTAACACAGTGGATAGATCACATACTAGACGGAAAAAAAGGTGTGTTTGTGGGTCTGGGAACAGCTGCCTTTGTGTGCAAGTTTGGGTTATATGTGTGTCTACCAATAACACTGATAAGACAAGGCCGGCATTGAATGGTCCTCAGCTCCTCCCTGCTGCTGATAATGTCAGGTCCTGATGTGACCCCAACAAAGGCAATAAAAGGACAACCGAAGGACTTGGATATAAAAGTTTTAGCTATATGGAATCTGAAGAACCCCGGACAGCGGCAAAAGGTGGGGACATTTAGCATGCAACACTTACTATGTCCACAATGTGGCACTGTAACTGAAACACAACACAAGGTCAACAAAAACCGACAACAAGTACGACCGAGAACGACGTTCTGTTTTGCTCGTCCTAGCTTCATACCGTTGCCCACCGAAATGTTTTCGAAGGGTATAGACCACTAGGGGCACAAGAGATCAATTTTAGCCATTGCAAAAATTAAAAATATTTAGAATAATATTAAGTTTTTTTTCAGTCCCAAACAAAAAGTGGAAAACAAATGTGATCCAGGCATCAGTCTTTGTTAGTCTATAAACAGGATTAGCCAGGAGTATATACAGCTCTCTATAAATATAGAAAATAAAAGTGCTGAATAAAGGTCGTGTGACGGCAGAGGTTTATTCTTGCACTTGAGATGACCGCAGGCAGGTTGTTTTGATGCGTCTGACCTGGTGAACTTCTGAGTGTGTGTGTGTGTGTGTTAGGCCAGCATCTCAGCTCAGGGAGGTTCAGGTGGCAGTGATGGCGCGAGGCTATCTCCACTGTCATTCACCCCACGTCTGCCTTCCAAGAGCTACACAGCACCCATGGGTGTCCCAAACGGCCCCGGCCGGGGCCGTGCAGGGCTGCAGTAAACAAGTCACACTCATCTGGCAGAGAGTGTGTGTCTGTGCGTGTGTGTGTGTATCTGCTATTTTCTCGTACACATCATGGCACCTCTGTGCGTGTGTGTATCTGCTATATTCTCGTACACATCATGGCACCTCTGTGAGCTCTGTTGGTTTTGTATCGAACAAACACTGAATATTTTCATCAGCATATCACGTATGGAGGCTTTCAGAAACTTCTGGAACGTGCAATGTAGGTTTTGGTGTTTATTTATATTAGGGCTGTCAAAATTGATCAAATGAAACCAAGGTAACGGTAAAAACAACAGCATCTTTGAATGTGGGATTACTGTAACACACAGACCTTCAGATCTGACCTTGAACCCACCATGTGAATGGGGGAAATCAGGAAGCAGTGAAGCGTTGCAGCTGAAACATTTGGCAACATCAGATACGGATGAAGTAAACTGTTTTATAAAAAAAATAAAAAAGTAACCTGTTAAGCAATTTAGCCAGTTTGTAATAAATTCTGAGCTGATTCTGGAGAATATTCTGGACCATATTTATCCCTGTTTTGGATTGTTGCAATAACTGTGCAAAATGCCATGGGTTCACAATTAATATTGAGCTTTAGACAAATAGGCAATTAATCAAGCATTATCAAAATTCCCAAAAGTCCCCTTTAGCTTTAATTTCACAGTTAACCCCAAGTAATGTTTTGCTTCTCTATTTTCTTTTTCTTTTATTTCTTTTAATATTTCCTTTGCCTCTTGTCATTGGAATTACTGTATTTTTTGGATATCCTCCCTCCCTGGATGTTTATATCTTTGACGTTGAGGATCATGGGTACGATTGTCCACGACATAACCATAGTTTGCCGTGCTTTTGTTTAAACCTGCTGTATCATTTTTTGCCGCCGTCGCCCGGCAGCGTCGACTCTGCCTCATCATATCTGACCCTGAACGACTGCCTGACTTTGTATAAACACGTTGCCTGTGAAAAGCGACAGCTTATATTAGTGCATTCATCTTCACACAGCTCCCAGTTACAAAAGGGAGAGAGTGCAGCGAGTGAGTATGACAGCTGAACAGCAGCCAGTGAATAGAGTGGGAGGTTTGTGCCAAGAATTTCTGTCGGGTTGAATCGGCTGAGGGTCATATGAGAGTTTTGGTTTGGAGACTGTGTGTGTGTGAGTGCATTTGTGTGTAAAGTATGCCCTAATTACACAATATTCTGTGGCTTTTGTGATCTCAACAGAAAACACCGTGCGGGAAATGGGTAGTTAATTATGGCAGTTCATAAATTGGCCACACGGTAATCTTCAGACAAATACTAAAACTAATGTAACTGAATGTAAATATAAAAAAAGGAGGATCAAACACATTTAGCGCTATACAGTAGCTAGTCTGTGTAAGCTTTAGCTTTATTTAAAATAAATTAATAAGGTTAGCCCTGCGTACAGTAGCTAGCTGCAGAGGAATAAAATAAATAAAATAAATTAATAAGGTTAGCCCTGCAACGTAGCTTTAGCTAACACACAACATCACTCTCCGATTTAGCGAAGTTAGCATGTTTCTACAGAAGTGTTACTTAAGTTAGATTTTTAAAGAAATGATGTTTTTGTACAGATGGTTTCCTCAGTTAGCTTTAGCATCTTTCTTTATCCGATTACTAAATTAGAATTAAAAGTAAATTTAGTTTTTATATGTAATGTTTAAGATAATTATTTGAGTGACAGTTAGCGTGTCTTTGTATTAAGTTCCTGTGTCACTGAGTTAACTCTAACTTTTAAAAGCTGTTTTAGAAGGCAACGAGTTAGAGTTAGCATGTTTCTGCAGCGGTTACAGAACCTTGAGTTAATTGGCCTGTTACTAAGGCGGTTTCTTATTTAAACAGTATTTAAAATAGTATTTCATTATCTTACAGAATGTCCTGTACCCTCGTGGACTTTGTGTGCATCAACTTAACATACTTAACATACACCTATATTCTTTCCTAAATGGCAAAATGCGACAAACCAAGGTAGCTAGACAAGATTAATAACACGAGGAAGGCTAAAATATATTTGTGCAACACATTTCTAGAACCATCAGAAGAGAGTAAGAGCAAACGGACACTGGTCTTTACACTGAAGGTGCGTGGAGCTGCAGTCCAGTGCTTCTCCAACATGATTTACCATTTCCCCTATAAATCCTGCTCCTTCTATATGATGTTAAGTGGTTGAAAGAGCCCGTCAACACCTTGTATTGGGTTTATGTCACTGCTATGTACACAGAGGGAGGGGAGACCGCCAGACAAGTCCAACAAGAAAAGAGGGAAAATATACTGTGTGAGCAAAAGGATAAAATATGTGCTGACAGCTTTTTGGCCGCAGGGCCAGAACACTGAAATAGTAGCGTCTGGATGTCAGGCCGGGGTCGTACGCTTCACTCGAGAGCAGACTTCTCTGAGACCCAGGCTGAGGAAAACATCACACAGCTCTACAGTCAGCTGATAATGTAGCATCTGACAGATAATGTACTCACTTGTCCAAATGTGACACTAATACACTTCAGAGCAGAAATGAAGCCTCGGCTGTAGCTGACAGTGTCATAAAAAAACATGTATTTATCAGATTTGGCAGGGACAGTATCTGTACGAAGAACAAACTGTGAGACATTACATCCACAGTCAAGAGAACGTAGTGGGTTTGAAGGTTGTTGGCTTTATGTTTTCAGACTAATGTGTCAATTTTAAGCATAATTCATAGCAATTGCTGGTGACCCTGAAGTCATTTGTACTGTGAATAACCAACTTTCAAAAATTAAAAAGGATCAGAAATGATGACTACAAAGACTTGAATTGAAAAAAAAAAGAGTCAGAACTCTGGATAAAAAAAGGCATCAAATTAGAAAAGTCTTAGTTCAACGTCAACTAAAAAACATGATATTTTAGGTCATTTATATTTAGGCCAATTACACAACAGATGTTGAAGATCACACATCAAAATCTGTTTAGAAGGCGTGTCAATAACATCACATAAGAAAAAAAAAAATCTGTTTAGAAGGCGTGTCAATAACAAGCAATGAAAACTCCCAAACCAGGGCTGCAAAAAAAAAAAAGAAAAAAAAAAGAAAAAGAAATGACGTCAATTTTTCGGTTCCTGCGAGACTGAGAATATGTATCAGGGTTTTTTGTTGTTTTTTTGTAGTACTTTTACTTTTCAGCAAATAACACATCTGCTGCCTGTGCAGAGTGTGCATCTTTAGTGTATGTCATGGTTGGTTACATGTTCGCCAGCTGGTGCCTGTGTGTGAGTGTGTTCCATATTCTGCTACACTTGTGGGGACAGTTTGGAAAGACACTGTTGTTTAGGGGACACTCGGGGGACTTCCTTAATGGGGACATTTGCAGGTTCCCAGTCAGTGGAACTGGGAGAGTGGCATATATTTGTAATGGTTAATGTTGGTGTACACACAGCTAAGGTTGGTATGATGTGTCTGTGTGTGTGTGTGTGTGTGTGTGTGTGCCATGAAAAGCGCAGGAGAGTTCAGGTGCTGAATCAATCAAACATGTAGATAGAAGCCAATAAGGATGGAGCGAGACTGCAGCTGGGGTCTGCGGTGAGAGAGGGTCAAACGAGAGAGTGAGAGACACACGGAGAGACAAAGAGAGTAAGTGAGAGACAGCAAAATGTCCGTCTTGGCAGTGGTGGCTCTATCGTCCCATGTCAGCAGATGCCATGTTACAGAGAGGGTAATTAATAGCCCAGTGGGACAGGGGTGCAGATCGCAAAGACACACTCACGATCACTCACATCCCTCTCCCTCACTAACACACACACACACACACACACTCACACTCACACACATTCAAAGACAATAATAATGTCTCCATTAGCCCCCGCTGGAGCAGCTTCGTGCCAACTAGCCTTCACCTCATTATGCCAATCAAATGGACCTGCAGGCAGGAGGCTGGATGTTGATGTGAAG